CTTGTTGTCTCGGATTCTCCAGCATCTGCAGTTCCTACTATCTCTGAATCAGCCTAGGGAATTTCTTTTGAACTGCCTCCAATGCCAGTATACCATTTCTTAAATATGGGGATCAGGTGCACCCTGTATAGTTGTAACAAGACTTCCCTATTTTAAGTTCCAGCCCCCAGCAAAAATTCCATTTACCTTCTTAATTACTTGCTCCACTTGCATGCTAACTTTTCATGTTTTATGCACAAGAAAACTCAGTTCCCTGTGTGCAGCACTTTTTTTGAGTTTCTACCCATTTAAATAATAGTCTGCCTTTTGATTCTTCCCAGCAAAGTGCGTGACTTCATGCTTTCCCATGAAATTCCTTCTGCCAAGTCTTTTTCCACTCATTCGTTAAGCTTATCTATTATCCCCTTGCAGATTTTTTTTCATCAAAAGTGCCCTATATGATCAGAAAATTTGAATACATTTCACTCTGCCCCCTATTCCAAGTTATTAATGTAAGTACTAAATAATTAAAGGTGTAGGACTGATACTTGTGCCGCTTCATTAGTTATATTTTCCAAACATGGACAAAAGAGCTGAATTCCAGAGGTGAGATGAGATGAATACACTTGACATTGGGGCCATATTTGACTGAGTATGGCATCAAGGAGTTCCAGCAAAACTGTAGTCAATGAGAATCAGGAAAACTCCCTTTTATTTAGAATTATACCTGGCACAAGGGAAGATGGTGGTGGTTGTAGGTCAGTTATCTCAGCAACAGGATTCTCAGTAGGGTCTCCTCAGGGTAGTACCCTATGCCCAACCATCTTCAGCTGCTTCATCAATGACTTTCCCTCCATCATAAGGTCAGAAGTAGGGAGGTTCACTGACGATTGCACAATGTTCATCACCATTCGCAACCAAATACTGAAGCAGTCCATGTCCATTTTCAGCAAGACCTAGACAATATCCAGGATGTGCTGAAAAGAACATAAGAACAGGAGTAGGCCATTCAGTCCCTCAAGACTGTTTCACCATTCAATGAGAGCATGAGCAATTTGTGGTCTAACTTTATATACCCGCCTTTGGCCCATATCTGTTAATACCTTTGCTTAACAAACACTTAACAATCTCAGATTTAAAATTAACAACTGATCTAGCATCAACTGCCACACACAAAAGAGAGTAGTAGGTAAGATTTGCATCACAGAAGTGCCAGTCAATGATGACCTTCAACAGGAGAAAATCAAACAATCGCTCCTCAACATTCCAATGGCATTACTATCGCTATATCACCCACTAACAATATCCTGGAGATTACCATTGACCAGAAACTCATCTGGACTAATCATGTAAGTATTGCGGCTATACAGCAGGTCAAAGGCAATGAACCTTGCAGCAAGTAACTCACCTTCTGACTGCTCAGAGCTTGTCCACCATCTGCAAGGCACAAGTCAGGAATGTGATAGAATATTCCCCACTTGCCTGGATGAATGCAGATCTAACAAAACTCAAGAAACCTCACACGATCTGGGACTGGAATTGGCACCACACCCACAAGCATCCACTACCTCCATCTCCAATGCTCAGTAGCAGCAGTGTGTACCATTTACAATATGCACTACAGAAATTCACCAAGCACCATCCAAATCCACACCATCAAGAAGGACAAGGACACCAGACACATGGGAGCACCACCATTTGCAGCTTCCATTCAAAGCTACTCACCATCCAGACTTGAAAATTTTTAAATGTCGCTTGGTCAAACTCCTGGAACTCCCTTCCCAATGGCATTGTAGGCATACCTGTGCTAAATGGACTGCAGTGGTTAAAGAAGGCAGTTCACCACATCCTTAAGGGCAACTAGGGATGAACAATAAATATTAGTTCAGTTGTGAAGCCCACATTATGTGAGTGAATTTAAAAAATCCTGAAAAAGACCCATATATCCCGACTTTCTGTTATCTGTTTATTACCCAATCCTCAATCTATACTAATACATTACCCCAATGCCAAAAGCTCTTAAACTGTCCAATAACTTTTTATGTGGTACTTTATCAAATCTGCACATACCAGGGAGAAAAACCATTGAAAGCTCTAGTTTTTTTCCCTTTTTCTTTTCTGTTTCTCTTTTATATCCACAAGTGCTATCACACACAACTGAGTGACTTTCCCATCACCAAAACCACTGTGACTTTTGAAAAATTTTTCTTTCCTTTGACCAGTAATCACCATATATAATCATCTGTGTGGGCAATTTAATATTTACAAGCAAAGCTCATGGAGGTTTACTTTATCCTTTTTTTAACACTAACTACCACCAGTAATCACCTGTATAGTGAATTAAATATTTACAAGCAAAGCCCATCATGGGCAATGCAAACCATCAAAAATAAGGAGACATTGGGAGAGAGGGAAGGGACTGAATCAAAATGGAATTGGAAGAGTAAGAAAGTTCTAAATATAGAAGCAGCACACCAAGTATCAGGTGAAGAATTGTGACAACGTTGTTACTTGCCAACAACTGAGGCTCTTAAGTGGTCAATTAATGATCACTTAAGAACCTGCCAACTACCTGCCTCCCCAGTGAGTGAGAAAAGTGGCTAGATTCTCAACTGGGAAACTCTGGATAAGTGTCTGCCAGGTTTGTTGGGGGGTCTCCAATTGCCCAATCTGGGATCAGTCGGAAGCTTGGATGGAGGTCCTGGGAGGGGTGGCCTTTGAAAGCCACCCTCCTGTTCTTGCTTCTGTAGCCCACTACCTCCCTTTCTGCATGATGCTCATCCTGTGATAAAAAGAGAAAAAAGCTTAGCCACTTGTCACTGGATACTCAAATAAGTGGGCTTCAACTGATGTACTTTAAGGCCCAGAAGGTGCCGGTCTCTGATTGCCTAATAGATGCTAGTATCACTGATTGCCGGTGTTGAGGCCTTGTTAGGATGAGTTTCTCACTGTCACTCATCTGTCAGCTCTTAGTGAACTGATTTGTGGGCAAAGGGGTGGCTTATCCCACTAGTGGGGGTGGCATGTTAGTCACCACCTAACATTCTCTAGTCCACACTGAGAAAAATCTGGCCACATTCATTTGGGCAATTAGAGAGTTAGCCAGAGTGTACACTGGATAGCATGCAGAGCATGGTGACCTAAGTAACAAAGTACTACTGATAAGCAGCTAGGAATATATAACTACTTATCAAAGGACTGGCTTCATGAACATTGACAATAGAGACCACCATGAACAAAATCGACAGGTCAGTGATTCTTTATGGAAGTTCAGAATGCTGTGATAGAGGCTTGGGTTGCCAAATTGAAAGGAAACATTTCTTCCGGCTTTCCACAGTTAGTGACTGTGTTTTGTGAAAGCATTATACAAGACTGAACAACAATAATTGTTATCATCAAGCTTGCTTTTCCTCAGAAGCATAGCCATTACTTTGGTAGAAATGAAGTGTATAATAATGTTTCCTCTCATATTGGCAGCTTATTCCCATCAACTTCTCATATGTGCAGCTAAAATAATTCAGTGTTGCAGTCTCCAGTAGGTCTGTACATATTAATTTTGGGAAAATGTGAGAGTTGATTTCATAGCTGACCTATATTATGCTTGGATGCCAAACTTATTCACACATGCCTGTAAATTATGCTACATAGATACCAGCTAATGGTGACAAGGGTTTGAATTTTCAGTCAGACCTGCTGAGAATTCTAAAGTTGTCCTTATTTTGTTCTTCCAACCCTCTGAGGCAATGCTTCGATCTTAAAAATTCTCATTTCTTGTTTTCAAATTCCTTCATGCCCGTTCAACCCTCTTTCTGTAACAACCATTCCCACCCTCATGTGTGTATGATCTAGATATAATTTCCTGCAGGCCAGAAAGTTGAAAAATGGTAATGCTAGTGTTCTTTGTTTGCAAATGAGTATTTTAATTCCATTCCAATCTGTTTGATCCAGGTGCCATTGTTAGTCACGAGAAACAAGGGCAGAAAATGGGACAGGGCTAAAGTGATCACTGATCCAAAATAAAAGATGTTGTAGCACTTCTGCTTATCAAGGTGAATGATATTAGCTCTGGGAAATGGAACAAATTCTATTTTGAGCACTAAATGACAACGTGGTCAGACATAATGCAGTTATTTACAGTGTGAGGACTGGAATGTATTCTCACTGGCAGGTGAGTGACAGTGTATAGAATCAAACTGTTTATCCTCTGTTTGCAGAATCCATTGAAAAGAAGACAGACTTGAAGACAATCTAGCAGAATACCAGTAGTCTTCTTCATACAAAGATGAGCAGAAGCTTGACTAACATGAAAATTTTCACCCGAGACTGGAAATATTCTGTGGTTAAAACAAAATTAAGTGAGTTGTCAGTTTCACTGTTGAGTTTTACATTCCAGTGGACAGCAGGTTTTCAGACAGCAGCTGATAGTAAATTCCTAGTAGCCTCTGGGTAGAAGCATAATATTTTGATGCATGGATGAGCAGAGAAATCTGAATAAGATCTTTCAGTTCTGTAAACCATTTGAAATATTAACTCATTCGGAATAAACATTTTTATGATGCTTAGCTCTAAGCCCCTTCAAACTGGACTCCTCTATTCACTCCTCCTTCTTGTAGGAAATATAGAAAATTCAATTCCCCACTCAAAAAAGTTTAAAATGATTCACTGCACTCTTTAACTGATAGAAAACTGATTTAATAATGTTTTAGTGCAGCCCCAGAGCACAATGTAATGGGAATTACGGTCCAGGAAAATTCTACAGACAAAAACTTCAACAACAATAGTCTCTTCTATGCAATGCTGCCCCAGGACACTTATTGCTATGCTGTTCATATTGCCACTTATGTAGTGGAAATGTTTCTCAGGGCATGGATGTTGCTGGCAAGAACAGCATTTATTGTCCCAACCCTAAGTTTTTCTTAAAAAATGATATTGGCCCTTCTTTCTGAATTGCTGCAGTTGTGTGATGTGGTGAATGCAGGCAGGGAGTTCCAAAATATTATTACATATTAGATTTACAGGATTGAATCTTACAATTTTTTTGGTTAAGTATGAGTTTCATCGTGTCTCACAGAGGGTTTGTCTTCTCGGGTTATAGCGAGGTCTTCCACTGTATTTTACCAAACCCATCATTAACTATCTAACCAGACCCACTGACACCACTGTTGCCTGTTTCTAACCCCATTCTATGATCCATCACCCTTTGAAAAACTCACCACTTGCCAGATATCCACCTAAACATGCCTGGTGATTGCACCATGTTTAAAAGGCTGTTTTACAATCAGACAAGTATTGGGCAGTCTGGCATTGACCTTCACTTGCAATGTAATGGCACATCAACTGCAAAGCCACATTGCGCACAGTACCTAATTGGCATGGCTGACACTCCCTTGCACATACACCGCCTTTCTCTCACCCTAGTCACTGTTTAACCACTGGGCCACACAGTCTAGTTGTCCTTACCTAGATCCTCTCTAAACACACTCTCTAAATCACTTGTCAATTGTCTAGTAGGGGAACATCACACAGAGGCAAACAATTAGACAATTACAAAGATGGTAGGAACTGCCGATGCTAGAGAATCTGAGATAACAAGGTGTAGATTTGGATGAACACAGCAGGCCAAGCAGCATCAGAGGAGCGGGAAAGCTGACGTTTCAGGTCTGGACCCTTCTTC